AAATTAATTACGGGCTGAGGAAAGAATCTTTGATTCTCATTTTTCAACCATTGCTCCCAATAGAGGATTAGAGGGATATATTGGAAATAGAATATATCCCCAATGAACACTAAAACAGTAGTAACATCATGTTGTAATCTAAAGCCTAGAAAACCTAAAGAAAAGTACAAGCAAGCATGAAAATAAAGAAAGCAAACGCAAAAGGGGGATGGATTCTAACACTATGACTTGCTCAAAATAATATTCGACAGTTGATTAAGGGTCATTTAAACAAGTTTGTAATAGAGTTGCAGCTAATTTTCCAAAGAAAACAAGTGTAAATAATAGCAATAGGCTTGATGAGTCAAAGTAGGCATTGGGGAGGCCTTCGTAGAAGGTAAGCCTTACCCTAGGGATGGTTGCATGATGTACGCAGATAGATTTTCCATATTATTCAATACAAGTATATGTCTTTCTTAATGATTATATAAAAATAATATGTATCGCTTAGGGTAACGAAAGAACAAGACTAAATATTGATGGAAAGAATTACCTTTGGTGGGCTCATGACAAGGCTGGTGAGAATCTGACCAGTTATATTCGAATTACATGAATTGATAGAAGCAACTTTATAGATTTGTTCAGCTATGTCGGCACTAAATCCTGTAACTTCCATGTATCCACCTCTTTTCTCACATTCTCCATAATATCCTAGAGCCACAATAGAAAGAAAGGCCAAAGCTTATTTAATATAATAAGCTTTATTAATCTTTGGTTTTATTTAAATGTAACCCAGCAGGCACAGGAGCAAGGTACCTTCAGAAACTGCCTGAAATGAAACCAAGGGGATATCCTTCTCCTGATAGCCCATAGAACGTGCAATTTTTCTTAAACGATTGAAACTTCTTGTCGGGAACATACACATTTTCCTGGTAAACCTGTTTTGGACATCATAGCACCAAAAGTGATTAGTAATTTAACTCAAATTAATGAGATTCATCTAATCTATTAGAGCACAAAAATCATGCAGAACTTGTGAAAAGATTAAGAAATATTTCTCTTATTTTCATTACATAAATCTTTATATATACAAAATTTTAATGGATAAATTGGGCTAACCTCGTCTGCCAGAAGCACAATGCCTTCTTTCTTGCATAACTCAACAATTTGCTGCTGATTTTCCTCAGAAAGAACCTGAAGGACAACAGCCAATTTCAGACAATGTCACTAAACTCAAACAAGTAAGGAGACAACCAAAGTTCATATTCCAATAGAAGAACACATAATACTATATCCTCAATACTTCACAAAAGAGTTAAAAAATCAACAGATTCAACTCACCTGTCCAGTTGGGTTGCCAGGGTTTATCACAACCAAGGCTCGAACTGTTACCCCCTTTGACCTGGCCGCTTCTAATTGACTCTTTATCTCTGAAATCTCCAAACCCCATCCGGTTGCTTCATCAAGGCAGTAAGGAACCTGTCAATGGCAAAGAAGACTTCTTCCCATCAAATAAATTCAGACATTACATCAGCTTTAAAGTTGCTTATGGGGGATATAACTGCTTTCAGATTAGTATCATAAACACCCACATACAAACAGGGAAAAAATTGGAAATGTCATAGAGTTGCTAAAAAATTTCAACATAAAATGCAAACATACCAGAGTTCCACCATGGAGAGCTATTGACGCAGAGTACAAAGGATAATGCGGAATAGGGCAAAGGATTCCATCTAGCTCGGACCTCAGAAGTAACTGCATCATAATATGCACCTATACATAATGACAGAACATAAATCCACCATTTGGATCTAAATATAAACTGGAGTTATGGACTTACAGGAAAAATCTAGTCTATGACTTAATAAAAGCACCTAACCCCAGGGCTTGCACCATCAGTCAATAGATATCATTGGCATTGGATGGGAAAACCGTCACGTTCTTCAATTCCATAAGCAATTGTTTCACGTAGTCCCTTAATACCCTATCAAATCACCAAGCCAAACAAAACTCGTTACAGAATGGTGAACATATTCAATTCATAAGAACACTATTATAGAACAAAAGAAATCACTTGGTCCATTTGATGGAAGAGGGTATTATATTCATCCGTCTATTTACATCGAACAAGGGAAACAACTACAGTCTTCTCCCTCAAATATTCTTCCCTTCTACTTTAACAACATATCATTACCTGAGTGTGACTATATCCACCAGTTGTTCTTCCAGTATCTGATCCAGGATCTGCCTAGCTCTCTCGATTGAATCAGCACTGCATATAATAAAAAAACAAAGGTGTAAATACTACAGCGACTACAGGCGTACAGCCCCTTACTAGATTGATTTGCCTTGCTTTTATTGATCAAATAATACAAAAACGTATAAAGAGAGGGGAAAAAAAAGTGCTCCTTGTTTATTAAAATCAGCAACCAACTATACAAAATACTCCGTAGAGACATAATAACAAATTCCTGGCTTTATGTTAAAAAAAGTCACACATGTTTTGGTTTTTTAATATAACTTGATATAAGCTAAGGAATGAATATAAAAGCATATGGACAAACCAAATCAAGTCAGAAAGAATACCTGAAGAGTTTCTGTGCTTCACTTCTATCCAAAAAGCTTGGAAGACCACACAGTGCAAGAACCTGATACACATGGAGAAATAATAGATCTACGAAGTATAAGGTATGATAGATTTATAGTATAACTGATAGTGACACTCCTTACTTTGGTGACTAACCTCTCGGAAAAATGTGATTGGCTGCTGCCCGAGAGATTGAGGATTTCCCATATTACAGACAACTATCTGCACAGGCAATAAGAAGCTCATGCTGCAAGCTTGAGACAAGACACGAAGTACTGCAATCCGCTAACTAGTCTTAAATTACAAAAGAAAAGTGGTATTCAAGTTTTGACCATAAAGGTGAGATAGTTTCATGATATTTGTTGATATTATTGCAATGCAGGACACATCTAGAAGACTATAACACAAGTGGCATTGAAGGGATTAGAGGTGAACAATCAATTGCATATGCACTATAACATAGCTAAATGAACTCCCTTAACAAAACGACAGCAACTCAGTTACTCTCGGCATCAGCAAATTAACAACATTAGCTTATGTGAAATTCCTTTAGAGGGATCGGAGAAGCAAGGAAACTAGATTATACCTCATCAAAGGGGAGAGAACCAGGATTCTGCTTCAATTGTTCTTGCAACCTCTGCAAGAAGCAATACAATAACACAATCAGAGAAGCAACAACGTTGTAACAGACACATCTACCATAAAAGAAATGGTCTTGCTCATTTCAAATTATCATACTCCCTCCTATTCTAAATAAGTGTAGCTCTAAATTATTGAGCATAGATTAAGGAAGTAGGTTAAAGCCATCTTACATGTCCTCTTTGTTTAGATTTAATAAAATACTATGTATCATACAAAATAATATTGTAATGTATAGAGTCTTTTGGGAATAGGTTTTGATCTAATGAGATGGACATTGTAAGAAAGCTTGTCAACATATTGCATTATAACAGTAAAGTTAGAAATTATTTTAAAATATAAAACTTTTTTTTTCCTAAATCAAACCCCAATTAATGCAACCTACATTATATTTTCTTTGGTTCACTATAGATAACTTAGTTGATTTAGGCATGTTTATCAATGCATTACTCTAACCCATACGAAAAAATAATACAAGGTTCAAGGTTGATACATTGAGATAAACTTTATAAGATCAATGCATTACTCTAACCCATACGGTTATATTGTTTTCCTCATAAATCAACAAAGATAGTCAAAGTAAATTATGTGGATAGCGTTAAAAGTCAAATGGACCATCTTGTTAAAGATGGAGGAAAGAGCTTTTACTCCTTACATACAACCACTCTAATTTATAGTTGTGTCCACATTATACATTAAAATCAAGTACAAATTGCTAAATATTCTCAGGTATACCGAGGCTATTTTTATGTTCATCTGAAATCATCATACTCATCAGTCATCACCTAACTTTAGGTCTACTCGAGGACAAAATAGACATCTAATAACAAGACATTGAAAGCTACATATAAGAAAAACAGTAGTACAGTACTGAATTATCTTGTCAAGACTAACAATACTCAAGTTTTTTTTTTAAATAAAATTTTATAAAAAAATAAATAAATAAATAAATAAATAAAACCTTACCATAGCATGTGTAACAATGGCTCCACGAACAGCAAATTCACATTTCAAGACCTAGGGGAAAAATTAACATAATTTAGAAGCATATCAGATTAAAATGCATTTACAAAAACAGCATAAATAAATAATAACCCATCAATCAATTATAAATTCAGACAAAGATTAAGAAAATAATGAAACCCAAAATGGGGAGATAAAAGATTAAACCTTTGGATTAATGGTTTGAAGAGTAACTTGAGGAAATAACCCAGAAGAAGATTCCAATGAAGAAGAAGAAAAACTTCTTGCGATAAATTGCAAATACTTTAGAATTTTTAGCAACGAATCTCCTCATTATTGTCGCAAATTAATGTTGCAGAAATGTGACCCTTGAATGTTTTGTTAAAGTAGAGTAAGCGGGTGTTGGAGTATTTGTTTGTTGGAGCAAATTCAGTGGGGCCACAAACCCCCAAGTACCAGGTGCTGAGTGAGCTTTGCGATGATTGTTGAAGTTTTTTTTTGACAGATGATTGTTGTCTTGTTGAAGTTGATGTTTTAGTCCCGTCCAAATAAAGTTGATACCACTCTTGTTAAACATCGCTCCCATTTTTAAAGGGTAACGCTCGCATTTTGACTTGAAGTTCCAATTTTACCTCTAACAATAAAATACGGTTTTTTTTTCACTTTTCCATTCATTTGGGTTTGTAGATCAATCCTAAGCTCCAACTCTCCAGCTCATTCTTACCTCATTCACTATCTCTCTAACTCTCTAAAAAAAACTTGAAACTCTAAGTCTGAAATTTTTTTGTTAATAAAAAAAAAAAAACAACAATCATCAAAAACACAAAAAAAGATGGGTGATTCGAGGCGAATAAGGCTAACATTCGGAGGAAGGAGTTTGGGCAGCGGTGGAGGTAGCGGCGGAGGCGGGGCGGTGGCGGATTCGACGGCGAGCAGGTAAATTTTTTTTAAAAAAAAAAAAACGGAACCTCCAGCTTCCGCCCAAAATTTCCGGAAGTTCCTAGGAGGTTCCGCCTGAAAAATCCGGAACCTCCTTGGAACTTCCGAAAATTCTGGGCGGATCTTACTTCCGCCTAAAATTTCCGGAAGTTCCTAGGAGGATCCGGAAACTCCAGGCGAATCCTCCCATGTAGATCCGGAATTTTTGGGCGGAACTTCAGGTTTTTATTTTATTTTTTTCCGTGAATAATATGCTTTTTTAATTTTTTATTGTTAATTTAATTATTATTTTTTTTTGTTATTTTTGTTGTTATTTTGAAGTGTTATCTTTTTTTTTGAAGCATATTTTGTAGTGTTATTAATTTTTAAAATATGATTAGTATTATTATTATTATTGTTGATATTAGGGTTTTTATTATTATTGTTATTATGGTTAATGTTGTTGTTAAATTTATTTTTTGTTGTTTGTTGTTATAATAATATTATTATTATTGTTATTAGTAGTACTATTATTATTATTTTTAATTATGATTAGTATTATTGTTGTTGATATTAGTGTTATTATTATGGTTATTGTTGTTGTTGTTGTTGTTGTTAATTTTATTTGTTGTTGTTGTTATTATTGTTATTATGGTTATTGTTGTTGTTGTTAACTTTATTTTTTGTTGTTGCTGTTATTATTATTGTTATTATGGTTATTGTTGTTGTTGTTGTTGTTAATTTTAAATTTTTTTGTTGTTGTTATTATGATTATGATTGTTGGTGTTGTTGTTTTGATTATTGTTGTTATTATTATTATTATTATTATTATTATTATTATTATTATTATTACTAAAATCGGATTTTGTACTTATTTTATGTAGATCGAGGGTTCTGGTGCTCGACATGCAATATCACGACGTCTGAATTCGTTTGTTAGGAGACAATCATCTTGTTCAGCACCGCTTCAGCCCGAGCAGCAATACGGGTCTACTAGTGGTTGGTCGGGAGACCCACAGTCTGGTAGTAGTCGGCCCTTGTACTCTGCAAGTGGAGCACCCATATCTGACGAGGAAGACAAATGCTCGGCTAGTCATGCTGATGGCCGTGATAAAGAACCGGACCCTCGGGATTACCATACGGTATATAGGGGTCAGTTTGGGAGATTTGTTGGTAGTGGATCGAGTCAGCCTACTACCAGCTCTGCAGAGGCATGGTTAGTGCAGGAACCGATGCAGGGTGGTCCTGAGGATGGGACTATTATCCCTAGTTTTGGTGGTCACGTGGCACGATATATCTGGATCGAGCAGGAGCGTAGTGTTTTGCGCTGTTTGAGTAGGACAAAGTTATGTTCTAACTTGTTTACTTGGCGAGGTCGTCAATCTGTGGAGGACCTCGGGGCGATTGATGCTAGTTGGTTGTCTCACTTGCCCGCCCTGATGTTTAAAAGACTTGATTGGCCGCTGATTTCTGCTTTTGTTGAGAGATGGCAGCCAGATACGAACACCTTTCATATGCCATTTGGGGAGATTACGATCTTGCTGCACGACGTGTACAACATACTTGGGTTACGTGTCGAAGGCAATATGGTCACCACTACTCCTAGCACGGACGTGTTACGGGACGCGTGCTCGATCACCATGGATATGACTCCAGATGATTTGTCTGAGATTTGCGGCACAAAGACAATTTGGCAGGGTAGTGGGGTGTTGACTGATAAGATTTTTGAGTCGACATTGGCGGTTGACCGGGAGTTTAGTGATCAGCTTAATGGATACTTGTGGTTAGTGCTTGGAGGTACACTGTTTGTAGACAAGAGTGGTAACCGTACGCATCCTTCCTTCCTCCACGAGCTATGTTATATGGATGTCCCTATTAACGAGTATGCTTGGGGAACAGCTGTACTGGCTTACTTGTATCGACAACTAGGCACGACATCACGGAAAGGTGCTGATTCGATTGCTGGTTGTCTCACGCTTCTGCAAGCATGGATTTACGAGTACTTTCCGTGCTTTCGGCCACAGCAGGGTACCTTGACCCGGGACCTTCAAATGCCTCGTGCGTCTGCTTGGGATGTTGGAGCGGGACGTCCTAGCAAGAACCTGGAGCGCCTGTTATCTTTTCGTACTAGAATTGATGCACTTACTGACCGTGAGGTGAACTGGCTACCGTACGGAGCTGATCCTGCATTACGAGTGCCCCCACTTTATTCATTAGCTGCATCCAGTATCGTAACATCATTGAGCCGTACATTCCTGATAGAGTGGTGCGACAGCTTGGTTTCGTGCAAGGCGTTCCCCGCAAGAATCAGGCCAGAGAAGGCCAAGAGGCCGACTAACTTGAAAATGTATCGGGTAGACTTCCCGACCGAGATGACAGATGTGATGTGGAAGAGGTTTGTCCCTAGGGTATCTCAGAGTGTAGTTTTAGGTGCCCTCACCAGGCTTAGTGCTACAGCTCCTTCGGTTGCGCCTGGTTACATGCAGTGGCTGTACAGGTTTTCTCACCCGCGGGTATCTCCAGGTGCAGGAGTTACAAGCAACCTACCTGAGCGAACTAACACTGATTATGTAAGTATTTATGCTTATTATAATATTAACAATGACTTCTATAAACTGGACACTTATTTATTTTTATATTTAATGTTTTGTTGCATATCATGTTAGATTAAAAGCAAGTACATTTCAAATTAATTTCATAATTCTAATTTTCTTACAAGTGTTCAAAGTTAGTGAATGTACATTACAAACTACCTAACTAATGCATCCCACATGTCCCTTCTAAATTCATATTGTTGATCCCATCCATTAACACTATCCTCGTGGTGTTCAGTCCACCAATCGGCGATCGGCGGGAGAGGTGAATCAGGTACAAGGTCAAGACGGATGAAATGTGATCCACCAACTGTAGCAATCACAAACTCTCGACTCGGTGTCCGAACCCCGTTGCGTGCCCTCAGCGGTAAGACTATGATGCATGGGTAGTAGCAAGTTGGTACTACGCCTACCCCGAGACAAATCACCCTTGCGTTGAACCACGTAGCAATAGGAAATAAATCTTGAATTGCAACCATCCAATGCCGCTCCCCGACAGCCCCACCATCCCATCGAATACGCTCTACGTTCATCCAAAGTCGTCCAAGCCCGTAAATCCGTTCGTACAAATCAGGATGACCGGCGATCTCGTTCGCTATTGTTTCCCGAGCGTCAAACCACAGCGCCTGATCGCCAAAGAAGAAGTCGGCGACACAACGAAAGCCACAGTTCCCATCACCAATGACATCCTTTCAAGACAAAATGTACGACAACATTGGCCCTGAAAGCAAGTTCAAATACCTGCATTGACTAATGTCACTCGGATCTACAACACAAAATTAAAAGATAAATTATTGGTAAAGCTACAAGTATTAAGTTTACATATATTAATATTACATATATTATTCAAAATCAATAGAATTTTAATATTACTTGGTTCTGGATCACCACCACGTTGAGTGTGTTGACGGTTCACATGCTCGAAATAACTTCGATCACGCCTGGTGTCATTGTTCCTCGGTCGACCACGAGTGTTAAGGTTGACATGTGGTTCTTCAAGGTGTGTATGGTCTGGATGTAGCTCCTCTTCAATGATTTGCGTTACATTTTGACGTACGGTCGGATCACTTTCCATGACTTCATCAATTAGGGATCGAAAATGTGCAGCCTCCTCGGTCGAATCATTAACCACTTCAGGAATGTTAACACCATCACCAATAACCAGTGTCTTCCAGAAAGAATGAATTTGGCTGCTATACAATCATGTCTGTGCAACTATCGAATCATGTATCTGGCAAGCACATGGAAGACCATGGGTCACACGCATAGCACATCCACGACGTTCATAGACCTAGTAACTCAAATCCCGCATCCTTTTCGTCTCGTTATGCAGTTCTTTCAAGCAATGTTGAGACACTTTGCCATTTATACGTGATAGTGGCAACTGTCTGTACATCTCACTAATTTTAGACCTTGATGCCTCCAACTCATTACGAATTTGTATGATTCGATTACCGATATGACAATGGACTCGGGCCCATACGGTATCCAAATAACCTGCCAATGATTCAAATTAGTAAATGCATTTTAATTTTTTTTTATTACGATTACAATTACGTAACAACGAGAACAACTAATAAAATAAAACAACTAACCTGTGGATGATTCAAACCAAGTTTTCACTGCTGAACGTTGGCTCTCAACTCTACAGTTGGTGGTGTTACCAAAGTGAAGAACCTGGTTCGTCCAATATTTCACAAATTTCTCCTTATGACAAAGCCATGTTCTCTGAACATACTGAATCACTGCCGGATATTTTCCCCACCTCACTTGCATGGTAGCTAGAGCATGATCATACTCCGCCTGTGTTGTTGCATTCACGATTTTGAACCATTTTCCATTTCTAAAACTGACACCAACCTTCTTGTTACCAAACATCTTCGTCACCTTAGCCTCCACATCTCTGTTGATGTGCCATATACAGAGTAAATGTGACGTCCATGGAAAGACTTATCTCAAAGCCGCACATAGCCCAAGATCACGGTCTGAAATAAATACAGATGACTCTTTATCAAACCCAATCAACTCCCTTAATCTAGTTTTTTGATTTTTCTAAATATTATTGGTTTTAAAAACGTTGTTGTTGCTATTTTTCTGATTTGTTTTCTAATTTGCTAGTTATTAAGCTAGTGCTCATTTAAGGCTTTTATTATTATTATTATTATTATTATTATTATTATTATTATTATTATTATTATTATTATTATTATTATTATTATTATTATTATTATTATTATTATTATTATTATTTAATGTTAGTGGTAAAATTGGAACTTCGAGTCAAAATGCGAGCGTTACCCTGTAAAATGGGAGCGACGTTTAACAACCCCTTTTAAAATTTGAGACATAACTCACATAAGGTGGTACTCCGTATGTAATACTCTCACGGTGTTTTAATAAGTGTTACATTTTGACTTTTTTATAATGACTTTGACTTGATTGTTTTACAAACATATGAAAAACAAACGTTATTGTACTCGTATAAGACATTACTGGATTCGTTATAGTATAAACTTTCATATTATATTATAAAATTTCTATGATTTTACTAACATATAATTAGATAAATTAGGGGTCAAAGTTATGACTCGGCAAGCGTGTTGTGTCAAATTGTTTAAAATAAAAAAATAAAAAAATTGTAACACTTTTTTATAGGGATTTGTTAAACATCGCCCACAAATTACTACATAAAGCCCACAAAATTCACTTGGTTTGACAAAATTGCCCTTGACCTTAAAAAAAAAACACTCACACTCTCATCACTCACACTCTCATTGCTCATCTTCTTTCAACCTCTCTTAAAAAAAAAATTCAAACAACGGCAATGTCGAGGCGGCAAGGCAAGGAATTGGCGGCGGCGGCAAAGGGAAGGATGTCCCAAGGAGGCAAGGTACAATTTGTAAAAAAAAAAATAAAAAAAATAAAGGGAAAAACCGCCGTGACGGCGGTGGGGCGCCCTGCAAGCGGTGGTGGCGCCAGCTGCAGACGCCGCCACCAGTTGGCTGGCGCCTGGGCTGGACGCCATAGCCACGGTTGTGGCGTTTATTCAAGGCGCCGCAGCCGTGGCTGTGGCGTCCAGCCCAGGCGCCAGCCCACTGGTGGCGGCGTCTGCAGCTGGCGCCACCACCGCTGGCTGGGCGTCCAGCCAAGGCGCCCCCCCCTTTTTTTTATATATTTGTTTTAAAATATTGTTTTTTTTTTTTTTTTGTGTAATATATTTTTGAATTGTTTTTATATTTTGTTGTTTATTTTTATAATTTTTTTCAATTTCGTTGTATTTTTTCTATGTTTATATTTTGTTTACAATTATTTGTAAGTTTTTAGTTTATTTGATTTGGGAGTGGTAGCTATTTTTCGTATAAATTTTTGTATGTTTATATATTTTAAAATTTTGTGTAGAATTCACTGGGTCGTCATGGTGCGGGGAAGAATGTAGAGCTTCTTAGTAGAAGCTATTCAGTGGAGAGGTCGGGGCATAGACATGTCAGATCCCGTGGTATTTCGGCTTCAGCTCGTAGAGAACGGATCCACCGTCGGGATGAGGATGACGATGACGATGATGATGCTGAGGAGGGTGACCAGGAGGAGGGCGCAGATGAGGATTAGGATGTGGACGATCGCAGTGGACCGTATGATGATTACGGTCCATTCAGTCAGAGGGTTGATGACATGTACGAGACACATATGGTGGAGGTGCGTAAGGGTAGGGGTGGTAGGTTTGTTAGTAGATCTGGCACATCATCTGCGTCCACTGTATCTGGGGCAAGCAGGAAACGGTCGAGGGCCGGTAATGATTCTTGGGTTGTTAGGAGTGAGGTGCCCGGTGGGCCTGTTGACGGGAGTGTGATTCCTAGCTTTCTAGGACACATAGCTGCCCGTATTTGGGAGGACCAAGATAGGCCTTCAGTTACGGGGTTGTTGAAATGTCATACCCGGGAAAAGACTTGTAGCTTTTTGCGTACATGGGCTGAGGCTTGGCCGGCGGAGAGCGAGATGTTCGAGCGACTGGAGGGCACTGGGGTGAATCACGTTCCTGCCACCATGCACGATAAGATTGACAGTACGCTGATCACGGCTTTCATTGAGCGATGGCAGCCGGATACAAACTCTTTCCACCTTCCGTTCGGTGAGATGACGATCATGTTACATGACGTCGAGGCCATTCTGGGGATTCGTGTTGAGGGTAAACGACTTTGTGCTGTGGCTAATGCGGATCAGGCAGATTTGCTGGCAGAGTTGTTGGCGGTGGACAGGGCTGCACTGTACACCGAGGCGCTAGGTGTTTGGGAACACAGAGGTGTGAAGATCGCATCCGTGTTGCAGCGGTGTTTGTACCCCAGTGCACGTAGGACGCACGACGCACAGCTGAGTGCTTATGTTTTTCTACTCCTCGGATGTACCTTGTTTCCGGATAAGAGCGGCGGAAACAAGCTTAGGCCACGCGACATAGTGGAGGCGTGTGACCCCGACAGTGTAGGCCAGTTTTCCTGGGATCGGCTACGTTGGCGTATTTGTATCGCCAACTAGGATTTGCGAGTCGGGCTGACGCGGCAGGTATCACTGGGTGTCTGACTCTATTGCAGACCTGGATATACGAGTACTTTCCTGCATTGCGACCACATCGTGACCCAGTTCCTATTGATGAGGGGATGCCGCGTGCTTGTGCGTGGAGTCCGCGCTCGGAGAAGAAGTCCGTTGACCGCCTCCGATCGATACGGTTGTTGCTGGACAGGCTGTCCCCCTTAGAGGTAACGTTTTATAAATTGTTTCTACATTTTATTATTTGCACATATTATATTCATGTTATTAAATTTTAAAACTATGTGCAGGTGAACTGGATGCCTTTCGGCCCGAACCCTAGTGTTAGGGTACCCAGGACCCTATGCACGGGACTCATTCAGTATCGTGAGATCGTCGAGGCGTACATGCCCCAGCGTTGTCTTCGCCAGCTTGGATTTGTCCAAGTTGTCCCTCCTCCCCCGGCATGCCCGATGAAGGCGGTCCGACCTGCATCTTCGAGGGACTACGTCGTGCAATGGCCGGATATCATGACCGGGACGTGGGACCAGTTTCCGATGGTGGCCCGCTTATGGACTGCGGAGTTGCAGCGGCCGCCCTCTAGGGTTACTCCCATGTGTGACCATTACTACATGGAATGGTTCAACCGGTATTCGCACCCGAGGTTGATCGCAGATCTCGACCACAGCGATGATGATTATGTGCCACCGCCTACTGCCATGGAAGCGGTATGTCTTATATTATATTTATCGTTGTCTTTTAATTAAGTTTTATATGTTGTTATTGTATTTCATCTTCTGTTTTTTGTTGTATGCAGTGGATGGGAAAGATAATGCAGGACGTACAGAAACTCTCTCTTGAGAAGGACAGCATGAGTGCAACAAGGAGAGCTGTTGTTGATAGTCTGGAACAGACCCTTGCGCAGTGGGAGTCGTCGTCGAGGAGGGATTACTGATGGTTTTGTCATTTTATTTATAGAGCACTTTAAATATCATCGTTTTAATTTATTAAATTGGACATTATGTTGTAAGTTTGTAACATTTTAGATTGTTCTTTTAGCTTCCAACTTAATCATTGCTGTTTTTAAATTTTGATATAACCGTTCGTGGATCCGCGCAACTTACCCATGCAACATATAGAATGCAGTAAGCAATACAATGTAAAAGATTAATGTTCTCATTAAAAGAGCAACGTACAAATAAGATTACAAATAAAGAATGTAAACATGAAAAACTAAAATGCAGCTAGGGTGTTCCATTCGTGGATCCGGTCATGATATAGCGCATCCCAACCCTCTACGCTCGCTGTGCGAATGTTGTACCACCGAGGTATAATCGGTGGCACTGGAAAATCGGATGACATGTCTAGTCGGATGAAATGTCTGTATGACGACCCAAGAAACGCAATAGCTAGCTCTCTGACCGGTGTGGTGACAGTCTCACGCGACCGCCAAGGGAGAACCGTGGTACAAGGATAATAAGCTTGACTATGCACTCCCAGGCCGAAATGCATGACTGCGCATTTGTAAATGTTTGCAACGGCAAACAGATCTAGGGGCGCGTCAAAATAATGATTTTGGCCGCAAGGTCCACCTCCCCACCGGATACGCCGCAGAGCGCCATCCAAGTCATCCTGGTACACATGACGATAAACATTTCGGTTAGATGCAATTTCGCTGTACATCAACTGACGCACCAAACCGTAGTTGTCTTCGCCCATTTGAAAAACATCAGCCACGACCCGGAATCCGCAGTTACCATCTCCGACTACATCATTCCACCCTTCCAAGTACGGCATGATGATCGCAGGTATCCTTTCCTTGTACGGAAACTGATCAACATCGTTTCTTCCTATTCACCATATAATTATAGACAGTTAAGAAGGCAGGAGTAACACTTTAAAACTATGTGCAATGTAAACAACCAAAACGTACCAGTTCTCAGGGGCATATTCACAGACGATGAAGATTGACTACGACTAGATGACGATGTCCGACCACGAGCACGACCACGACCAAGACCACGGATATACTCAAACGCACTCCTGTTCCGCCGTTGTCGACCTCGAGGACGGTCAACTCCTTCGGGTTCCTCATAATCTAAGGTAGACGTGTGGAACATGTCATGAAGTACATGAGTAGCGTCACGAATAATAGAAGGATGGCTGGAGGACACTCGGTCGTACATCGAACGAAACTGCTCCAACTCCTCCTGTTCACGGTCGGCCGTTTGAGTGTCTGCATGCTCACCAATAACAAGCGTCCTCCAGAATGAATGGACCTGATCAACATGTAACGACGCCCTTTCTTCTGTAATAACGCGGTGAATGGTGCATGCGCAAGGTAATCCATGAGTTACTGAAATAGCACACCCACACCGAGCATACACTTCGTCAGCCAAGTCCCTCATCCTGTTCAGCTCAGTGAGAATCAACCCCAAGCAGTAGTGCGACACACGACCATGGAGAATCTTAAATATAAAATGGCTATACATCGTACCATGTCGTCGTCTGGAGTCCTCTAGAGAGTTCCTGATGTCGTTCTTCTGAGTTTCAATTGACTTGTTCAGTCTAGCGAACAGTGTATCCAAAGCAGCGGTCGATGAATCAATCCAGTCCTTGGTAGCTCTATGAGCGCTCTCAACTCTACATGTTGTAGTGTTCCCAAAATGAAGTACCTGGTTTGTCCAATATTTGACAAACTTTTCCCTGTGAGGGACCCATTGATGCATCACATAGTCCACCAGTGCCGGACACCACTGGTACGGATCCCTGAAGTTAGCCAATGCTCGCTCATACGCTTCCTCTGTGGTAGCCTGTAGGATCTTCTGCCACTTACCATTCACCAATCTCTCTGCCATTTCCAAATTCTTCTTGAAAAGGTTGTAGGCTTTCACTTTCACGCAGTTGTTGATGTGCCATGTGCACAATAAGTGGTTCGATTCGGGAAACAGCTCTGCTATGGGGGCAAAGAGACCTCCCTCACAGTCGCTGACGATGGCTGCTGGATGAACATTAGGCCCGATGTAGTTTCTCAGCTTCTCCAACACCCAATAATAACTTGGAGCCGTCTCATCCTTGATGATTGCATGACCAATCAGAAAGTTCTGGTTCGTTGGAGTGATCCCCATGATCTCAACCAGTGGGAACTTGTACTTGTTTGTCTTGTACGGTGAGTCGATCAAAATCACAAATGGCCAAGACTTGATCATATCAGCACAATCAGGATGCACAAGGAAAAGATGAGTCACCTCCGCTGTATCTTCATTAGAATCAAACCAGAACAGGTAACCACGTGATTGTGCCTGGTGTAGCAGCTGCTGTATAGGGTTCCTTCCCTCTGACCGTTCAAACCTGAGTTGTTGTCTGACGTTGTAGATGTGTCTTCGGTTTGGATGGTCTTCTGGAAATTTTTCTAACACATATGCTAATATTTTAGCAGGCTTCACTTGAGCATCACTCATTTCTTTCACAACTAGTTTCGCAGCAGGACTTAAGCCGCTCAGTTGTCGATGACCCTCTTCATATACTATCATCTCATGGTTGTGATACCCCCATTTAGAGTAACCAATCACTTCCCAACCGTCACGACTCCGTAGTTGTCGAACCTTTACTCTGAACTCACACCCACAACCTTTCCGCTTTGTATCAAACCGAGTGGCTGTACGAAAATCTCTTTCTTCTCTTTTGCGATAACGGTCACATCTCAAAATGCGATCCATTCTACCATCCCGTTGAGATTTATGAGTTACTACTACCAAGCAAAATCCAGCTGCAATTGCAACCTGTTTTGCCCAATCAATCGCCTGTTGAGCTTCTTCGAATGGACCATCATGTCCAAATATCCCACTGTAATCATTTCCGTCTCCACCATATTCCTGCATCAATTATATATTACAATAAATACATTTAACGGATAATACATTTAATTTCTATATTTACACAGAATTAACACAAAAAAAGCATAATTATATATAATCAAACTTAATTTTTATAAAAACCCAATTCGAATTTTCAAACTAAATTTAAAAATATACCATTTCGAATTTTCAAATTTAATTTTAAAAAAACCTATTTCGAATTTTCAAATTTAATTTAAAAAAAACCCATTTCGAATTTTTTTAAAAAATCATTTTCGATTTTTTTTTTTAAAAAAAATTAAATAAAAAACAACAACAAAATCAAAAAAGAAAAAAAAAATTAATTTATAAGGGTGGCGTCTGCCAGGGCTGCCACAGCCACTGGACTGGCGCCTGGCAGGGCCGCCTCAGCCAGTAGAGTGGCGCCTGGCCAGGACGCCAGTCTGGTGGTCTGGGCGTCTGGGCTGGACGCCACTCTGGTGGTTCTGGCGTCTGGCTTGGACGTCCAGGCTACGGTTTGGGCGTCCATCCTAGGCGCCGGAGCCACTCCGACGGTAAACCGTGAATTTTAACGGTGACTTACCTCGTTTTCCGTCGACGACGACATACCTCCGGCGTCCCCCGCATCTCCGGACTGCCCTCCGGTCTCCCCCGGCGAGCCAGTACGGCTCCACATTTTTTACACCGAGATTATTTCAATTTTAGAAAATGGGCATAATGGTCAAACCATATCATATTTGTGGGCTTTATATGGTAAATTGCGGGCGATGTTTAGCGTTTCACTTTTTATAACACGGAGGGAGTACATTATATACGGATTCTCAGTAATAGAGTTATGATAAAAAGAATGTTTAAAAAAAAAAATATTTTTTTTAAAAAAACTTGAATCATATTCATTGTAATACAATCTTTATGATTCACTATATGATATACAAGAATCAATTAATATAATTAGTGATTACAGTAATATTTGACATGATTGTAATCAAGATAAAACACAAAGAGACATTATTGACTCTTAAATAATAGCTGTTGCAAGCTGCATTATTGACTCTTCATTTTAACTCAAGTACTCATGTCAAAATGTCAAATCATCGACATTCCAACACTTCATTTTGGACTATAATCATGAAAAAATGTCACAGTTTTGTCAATTTTGACACTTGAACACAAACCTGTGTCAACACTAGCTCGATTTCATATAACATAGGTTGCAAGTTTGTACTTGACGGTTATTTGAGTTTGGAGGGAATGTTTCTAGGAGTTGGTGAGTTTAATTAGAGGTGTCAATTCGAATCGGGTACGATGACATCGGGTTGGGTCAGGTCAGGTCAATTTTTTAAATTGAATCATGTTAAATTATTATGTCTACAAGAGTCAAAATTTGAATCGGATATTTTTCAAATTGATATTAGATCAGGTCGGTTGTGGTTTTGACACCTCTAAGCTTAATGTTTCATTCCATGTAAACTTTCATGTGCTTTCTAAAGAGTGTTATGTCTGTTATCCAACTTACATATTTAGTTATATACTCTTTTTTACATCAAGATTAATTATAAATAAAAAGAAAGATAATGACATGTTTACTGTTTACAATGTTGTCTGGAAGGCCACATCAGTGCTTGTTAACCAAGAACTCCCATCAATGAAGTTGCCCACTGTAAACTTCGAGGCCTCATCAGCTGTAATATCGGGCTTAAATCCGGCCCATTTAACTCTCTTGCTAAGATCAGCTCCAGGCCCAGTGTTTTGGTACTCAGCATAATAAATCGTCGAAGGTGGACCAACTCCATTGACCCATCCTATCCAGCCCAATGGGTTCAAAACTGGCCCAATAACAGATTGCATGACCAAAGTAGTGGAGTATTGCTGCCAAGGCCGGCCCAAGTAAGTTGGGGCTGTCACCTGGCCCAAACCCGAGATGGTGCATTTTTGGATCGAGATCCCGGTGTTTTGGTTAACGTCCTTCTTACCTTGGGCCGTTATGGTGTTAAATTGTTTGGCCATTGGTTGTCTAGGCTGGATCTTACAATTTTGAAACACTACAGCCGCGTTACCAAATATAAAATCGATGGTTCCTGTGATGGTGCATTCTCGATAGAATTGGCGATAGGAGTGTGTATAGAGGGTGTCTTGGAATCCATCAAACAAGCAACGGTAGAAGATAGATTGGTCCGACTGAGACCGCAAGGCCACTGCTTGGTGCTTCTCAGCTCCCGCCGTATTTTTGAAGGCCATATCCTTGGCAATAAATCCTTTTCCGGCAATAGCTATACATTAACATTATTAGTCTTTAGCTAATGAGTATTATACTAATCAAGTAATCATTGTATGAGTTAGGGGCCTAATCGCTTGTTAGGTACATGGCGAAAAATATGACATGTTAAATATGATATGACATGTTAAATATAAAATGAAAGGTATAAATGAGAATACATATAATTTATAATTAGTTAGCGTCCAATGAATTTAATAATTTTAAATCCGCCTTCAAGATATACCCTGTTATCGAGGCTAGTGGAAATTGACGGGCACATGTATGTTTAGGTCACGACCATAAATAAAGAAGACACTCAATTTAGATTGCTGTTGCATAATAATGTCCAAAAAATAATAATGTCAAAAAAATTGACATAATGTTGCTGAACCAAACCACATGGCATTCACTAATGCTAACATACTATGATTCTATGAATCATTTTTTAATCGCCTTCAATTGCGGCCAACTTAACGTAACACTATTTGCTTTTCAACTTTCTTCTAACTCATTGAACATCCATAAATGATCCAAAATATGGTCAATTACAGTAAGCTGATGGAATGAAATAGATTAAATTAAGATCCTTAAACTAACTAATTAACTATGATTAGTTTCCTAGCAAAACATATACTAGCATACGTAGTGTTATTAATTAAACATCTACAAAGTACTTCACGTATGTCTATCTAAAGTTTACATGGAGTACTATCTGTCCTTGTGAGCAACAAATTGTGCAAGACTCTGAAAATCTAGAAAATATATTGTTTATAGACCTCGTTTTTCTGTCATGACTAACTAGATTTCTTGATATTGAATATTGACATTATTTGACATAACAAACATGGAAATTCAATACCAACATCTGAAAATTGATAACCAAAACAGTGATAATATATCATGTGTATATGTATTATTTAAATGCAATCAATATTCAATATTAAGAAGTACAACTCAAAATTAGAGTTAGATGTTACATACCAAATGTAGCAGTAGAGAAAGTTGGAGTGCCATCAATGAAATTCAAATGACCAGAAACAACACTCTTATCCATTCCATCACCATACATCATCACATTCCAAACATGTTTACTCAACACTACATTCTCCTCATACACTCCTTCCTTCACATATATCACATACCTCTTCACACTCTTCAACGGCACCGCCTTTATCGCCTCCGTTATTGTCTTATACTGCCCACTCCCGTCCTTAGCCACCACTGCGTCCGCTCCCCCCTCCTCCTCACCTTCCCCTAATAACAACCGCCTCTCAACGGACCCCACCCACTCAGGAAACATTTGATTATTCCCATCACTCCGGAGAAGTTTCCTTAAATGGAAAGGAACCTTACTATTAGAAATATCCTTAAACTTACCCAAAATAGATCCAACTTTACTCACAATAGCCAAACTATTACTCACTAGTTCAGTAGCGTTCTTCATCTTAAATTGTAAATCCTGAACCAACGACGTCGTTCCATTGATCTCCGACACGCCTTCCACACAACTATCAAGATCAGTCAAAACAGCACTAAGCCACGTCCTAAGATCATCTCCTTTCTTACTCGACACTGTCAACTCCGATGATTCTCGGAGTTGATCCTCAGCATCATCAAACAACTCACCACAATCCTTCAACGCCTTAGCCAAAACGGTGTCGTTCAGGTGCTTCGGAAGGATCAAACGAAGCTCCGAAACCGAGTGTTTTGCCACTTGAAGAGAAAGATTGAAGAGTGAACTAGGAATAATACTACTAAAAGTAGTAGAGTTGGAGACAAGAGGAGATAAAGAGGTGAAGCAAGTGTCAGGGTACTGAGTCACTGAGCATACAGCTTTTAGTGACTGAGATGGAGAGGGAGGAGGTGCAGGTGCCTTATCGCCGTCGTCATCCGTGCTTTGGCGGGATAGTATGACTCCTGCAACCGCGGCGGTGATGACGACGGCGAGGAGGATGATGATGGAGATGAAAATGATTATGCTTCTTTTTTTTAATTTTTTTTGGAATATTGCTTCTTCTGTTTCTTCTACCTTACCATATCCTTTAAAGGATTTTCTTCTATCCATAATTAATTTTTTTTTAGATGTTTGGATTTTTAATGAATTAGATTACTAATATAAAATATACTACTAACAAGGGAAGAATAATGTAGACAGAAAAAAAGAAGGGGAGATTTGTGTTTTTGCTGTTTTTGGCGGGTAGATACAAATATAACAGCTAGAGGATAGGGTCATTAAACAGAAATACAGTTGCAAATTGGAAAATTGGATGGGTAGTGAAGTGCATTAACGCGGAAACAAATTTGGGGTTGGCCATATACTAGTGTTTGTGGCTTATAATTAGACGTGTTATATGTACGCGTACAATTGTACAAGTATTTTAATAATCTCAAAGCTATAGACGTATAGTTGTATTTATGAACTTATGTGTTAGATTACTTAGATAACAATAAACATGTCATTCTTACTTTCTTAGTGTTAATGTATGTGTTACATATATATACGAGCAGTTGTACAAGTAATTTAATAATCTCAAAGCTATATGCCTAGGCGCCTAGCTATAGTTGTACTTGTCATAAGCAGTTCACGCTATTATCAACGAACATGTCATTCTCAGTGTTAATGTGTTATATGTATATGAGAAATTGTACAAGTGATTTAATGATCTCAACGCTATGCTTGTACGTAGTAATTAAATTATAAACTAGCTAGTGTGTGGTCCGAGCGATATTTCGGGTTTCTAGTCTGTACTTCTTTAATTTGATAATCAATCAATCAATAACTATATACTAAAAGACACACCAGCAATGACACGTGTCATCTCTTGGTGTGTCCTTAGTTTTTTTTTTTTTAAAAAAATAAATTATATTTAAGTAACAAATCTTTACATATATATTATAATAATAATTACTTATAGAGTATAATAGAAGATTTGATGTATGATGTATCCTTCCAAAAAAAAGTACTAACAATTATAACTTAAGCAAAAAAATAAAAAAATAAATAAAAATAAATAAAAACTTAACATAATTTGTGAAATATGAAGGTTCTTTTTTGGGAAAATATATAATATTAACATAATTTGTGGAATATAAAGCTTTTTGTATTTTGGGAAGGTATATATTAATTATGTACTACATTTATTAGAAGATCATTTTTTTTTTGTTTGAGGAAACAACAAGATCATATATTTTTTTCCCCTTAAAAAAAATCATATTTTTTTCTTGAATTTATTTATTTTAAAAATTATGTAATAGAAGCTACAAATTTTTACAATGAAATGCAAATATAAAATCAACAAATGATATTTTTGTTGTTTCCTTGGATAATTTATGATCTAAATTTTAATCAATTTATAATCTATAATTACCTATGGACACTTCAATAATACTGCCAAGTTCGACACATGTTGATTATTCTTAGTGTTTTTTTTTTTTAATTTTATTTATTCAGCATTCAACTGATATGATAAAAAAGATAACATATTAAAATTACAATGTTAATTTGAATAATAGAAATTACCGTGCATGACACGGGACCTAACCTAGTTATATTATATTGTTTGTATAGTTAGTGTGTGACTTGGGCGTTAGGTCGAAATTTTTTTAATCTTGTGAAATATAAATAAAAAATATAACCTCTACTTTACTTAATATATTAAAGGAATATATAAAAATCACATGAGGATCCTCTTATATCCTTTGCCCTCCTCTCATTTTTTTTAAAAGGGCTTAACTATTACATCGGATATATAAAGTTTGAACAACATATAAGTTCCAATCCAATTCATTCAATGGTTTCAAACATTTTAACGGATTATAAACAAGTTGTAAAATTAAACATTTCTATCTTGGTTGAACGAACATTACTATTAACTCCTTTAACAAGTAGATTAATACATCATTTTATATGATCAACTCCTTTAACAAGTAGAAAACTAGAAACAAACATGCCCTATTTATTTCCTTAGCTTAGGCGCTTAACCCTTGCATTCAACCAACTACTAACACAACAACAAATACGAAGTACAAGTTTATGCTGATCAAATCGAATCATTGAATGGTAAAATAGTTCATTAGAGACCAAGAGAGAAAGGGAAAGAAGTGGAGGCTAACCAACTTCCTCCAGCAATGAAATTCCCTGGAGTGTATTGTTGAGCCTCGGCGACATCAGTAAGTTCTCTAACACCCCTCCATTGTACACGTTTCGAAGTGTCGGCTCCTGGACCGGAGTTTTTATACTCACCATAATGCAAAGTTTGAAGTGCAAAGTCACCTTCCCATTCATGCCACCCTGCTGAATGAACCACATCACTTATAGATGATTGCATGATTATTGTCCTAGAGTATTCTTTCCATGGTCTACCAAGATAAGTCGGAAAGCTATTTTTCGTGGCTAGTAAGTCCGAGGTGGCTCCAATTCTACATTTTTGGATCACAATCCCGGTGTTTTGATTAGGGTCTGTCCTTGATTGAGCCGTGATCATGTTCTTTTGGTTCGGGTTTGGTTTACGTGCATGGATGTCACAGTCTTGGAACACAACTGCCGCGTTACCAAATATAAAGTCTACCGTGCCTGCAATTAGGCACTTGACGTAGAATTGTCTACTTTTGTGGACGTATAATGTGTCTTGGTATGCTAAGATGTCACATTGGTAGAATGCTGCGAGGTCAGCTCCTACACGAAGTGCTACGGCTTGGTGCTTTGATGGACCGGCGGTGTTTTGAAAGGTCAAGTCTCGCGCCAAGAAACCTTCTCCATTAATCGCTGCAATACAATGCTCAATCAAGTTAATTATTAGAGTCTATAGAGTAATAATGACAATTCCATAATGTTGTTTGCTTCTTTTTCAATTTGCAACTTTATTTATGGTACTAATTGATGATACATTCTAATTAATTAGCATCGTCATGAATTAACTAGCTTATTATTAAAGTAGTGAAAAGGACTAATAAGACATGAAAATCAATTAAGATCATCACTTTGAAATAAATTAAATGGTGTCTTACTTTTGAGATTCTCCTTTTTAAGCTAGGTAATAATTAACTTAATATCTTTTTTTTTTTTCATGAAATATACTTCTTTTTATAAAATATGAATGGGAATAGCGTAGCCGAATAGTATATGCAAGTATGATTTTTCAAGTTTTCTTCAAAAAAAAATATGTATATTTGCATGTATGTGTCAAGATGAATCTAATAGGACTCCATCACATGAAAATTACTTCACTTATAAATTTATTTTAAAAAAAAATGGTCCAAAGTAATATTGTGATTGAAAAAAAAAATACTTTAATTATCAGTCCTTCCATTTATCACAAAACAACCATATATAATTTTTTTTCTTTAATAATGTACTACTTTATTCTAAATCATTGTATATACAATATATATACATGCATGGGTATGCCACCAATCTAAATGAAAATTTTAAAGTAAATTACATTCCATTATTTCTTTTATCCATATTATTATATTCTTCTTTAAAAAAAAAATAAGAAAAAAAACATCATATTCTTCTTTTTGCCATGCAAATTGCAAAATATAACACGGGGACGATATATGGAGCACCGAGTCCTAACTACCCCATTTTTATTTAGTTGACACCATTATATTATTACGTACACCTGTCAATGCGTGCACTAATTTTTTTTCCAATGCACTATTTTATTAATTATTAATATTTTTAATTTACGACATTGTAAAATTATAAAAATTTTATGTTAATGAAATGAACATTTAGACGATTCAAACAAGAACCCATTTGACTATATTTTATCATAGTTATAAACAGCAAAAGTTAGTTAATGTGTAGTTTGTAAATAGTGTAAAAATGTTTTTTTAAAAAAAAAAACAAGGAAGTAGTTTTATGTGCTTACCAACTGTAGCAGAATCGTAGGTAGTGCTGCCATCAATTACATTCTTCTTTCCAGTAATAATAGTATTAGTCCTTCCTTCCCCAATAAACATAATATTTGTCTTCTTCTTACCAACATCCACAATTTCATGATACACTCCTGCTTTGATCCTAATTACATACCTCTTCTTGCTCTTTACCGGGGCAGCCGCCACCGCCTCGCCTATTGTCCGGTGATCACCACTCCCATCAGCAGCCACCACGGCATCCACCTTTGTAGGTCCCTCTTGGAGGATCCTTTTATCCACACTTGACATCCAATGTGGCCAACCAAACTCTTCATAAAGCTGCCTCGAGTTCGTCTTAGTGGCTGTCGCGGCAGCCATATCCGTGTCGGTCATGTTCTTGATCATGGCTAAGGAGTTACTACACATTTTTTCCACGTGGACTTGCCCGCTTTGGAGCGTGTCCCTCACGTGCCTATCCGCGTCATTATGGGAGAATCCGTCTAGGCAAGTCTCTTGATCGGTGATGGCAGCAGATATGAGTGTCTTCATATCATCTGCGTAGCCCTTTAAGGACTTACCGCGTTTATTGTTGTTATTATTATTGTTATTGTTATTATGCTGGTAGCTCAGGAGGTCCTGTAAGGTCATCCTGAGCTCATCCAGGGTTTCATCAATAGAAACCAGACAGTCATGTAGGGCATTCCTCTCACGAACCGTAAGATTCTTACGTGTCGTGAGGAGGTTTTCGACTGTGAAGTAGTTATGCTCCACGGCCCGAGTAGTTAGGTTTAAGGAAGCAGCAATGACATCCTTCTGAGAAGAGATTTTGGAAGTGGTGGTGGAAGGAGCGGAAGCAATGGCCGAGTAACAAAGGACAGGGTATCGAGTACTACTACACGAAGATTTAAGAACCAAATGTGTTTCGGGGGAGAGTCTAGGGTTGCTATTGTCTCTTTGGTGAGATGATCTTACTCCAATGCCGACACCGACAGTGGTGGCTATGAGTAAGAGGGAAGAAAGGAGGCATATTAAGAGTAGTTTCTTGTGTTTTTTAGATAATTGTTTCATGATTATGACTTTTCTCTAGCTTGAATGTTTGACGAGAAAAGGATAAGAAGGTTGTGGTTGTTTTGATGGGAATGAGGTAGTATAAATGGGGAGATATATATATTATGGGAATGTTATGATCGTTTAAAGTACTTTTCAAAAGTAATATCGACATAATAAGATGCTCAATATATATATATATATATATATATTTGGATCAATAATTGAGTGTAATTAATTTAATTAGATACTACATTCATTCATAATAAGGTAATATGATAACTATGTTATTAATATACGTACTACCTCCATTTCTTACTTCTTATTGCAACAAAAGAATTTATAAATTTCACAAATACTACTGCAAATATATTCATAAAAACATATACAATTATACATGTTCAAATTTTATAATTTAGCCCCGTAGTAAACTTTAATAAAAAATACTACTTCGTGTTCTTAGGAATCAATCAAGGTCAAATAACATCGTTGAGAATCTCTAATAAAATAATTGAGTTATACGAAGTACTAGTGATATTAATTCTAATATTACTTGTTACAGTTGGTTTAATAATAATCCGTCATAAACTACTAATAATATCTTGCTACAAACTTAATTCTAAATTTCTAATCCATATTCCA